CTCTAGATTTTGTCTCGTCTCCTCTGGGGTTGGTGCATTATCCTTTGATAGTTTATTATACGTTGCCAACATCGTTCTCAAGTCGTCACTCTTCATCCCGTCGATAAACTTTGAGGCGATGCTGAAATTTCTTCTGTTTGTCGACTCTTCCGGATCGCTCCTTCTTCTCACGCTCTCAAAATCATCCAGGAACCGATCGATCGACTCGTCGTCCCTCCGTCTTCTTTTTTCAAATCTCATCATCGCTTGGTGACCCTTCATTCCTGATCCGAATCGGTTCAACAGTATTTCGAAGATTTTGTTCGCCGTATCGCGCTCCTCCTCTTTTTTCGCTACTACGCATTTTAACGCTGTGCGCTTCAGAATGCTCAACATCGCTGTGCAGGCCTACCTTTCGTCATTCAAGTTGTCTTAATCTAAATGTAGTCTCATGACTTCTACCCATGTGTCAATGCAGCCATCCGAAACATCTTTGAACTCTTTGGGTTTCTTGAAGGTCTTTCTGGATTTACCACTTCTGTCACTTGATTCTGTGTTCCTTGTTGCGAACGCTTCAAGTGTCTTGTTCATCTTTTTCCCAGGTGCTCGCCCATGTCATGGCGTCAGGTGCTACATTAGCGTGTGTGCTGGAGTCCCCTGGCGCATTTGTCGAGTTTGAGGTTCCACCCTTCATAATGATCTTGGACTCTCCTGCCCCTGTGCTAGTTGCAATCCGGGGTAACGGTGTAGACTCCCGTTTATTCCGTTGCGGTTCTATAAAGTCGACTCTGGTGCCTTGTGGTCTGTCTGCTACCAGTTTGTCCTGTACTATAGAGTTTCTCAAGAGAGCATCCAGTTTGGACTGTATGGCACAAGAACTTTCAGCTTGGTCTTTGCTCATTGTGTCCATTCTGGTCTCTAGATTCCACAACTTGTCACTCACGGTGTCGTACCGTTGCTTCATTTCTTGCATATCCCTTTTGATATGTTTCTCCCGCTCTTTGTCGGTAGCCTCTACCTTGTCCGACATCTGCTTTAACTTTTCTTCCGTCGCCCTTGCCAGGTTCAAGCAGTTGTCTAGGTTCTCATTCTTGATGTATAATATTTTCCTTTTTAGCTCGTGGCGATCCTCCTCGCTGTACTTCAGTTTCTTGTCAATCTGCTCCAACTTTGCCATCAAGTCGCCCAGCTCAAGCGAAATTGTTTTTTTCTTGGTTAGCCGCTGCTCCATGTGTGACCTGCTCTTCGTCTTGTTTGGCCTCTGTTGTTTAGCGGAAACTGTTCCAAATGTTTTGCTTTTATCTGTCGTTGGTATCGCCTCTTCTTTCTCTCCTGGTTTCATTCCGACCATCACTGCAATCCTCTCTGTGAACGACGTTCTTTTTGTTTGAGAATCGTCTTTTATCGTTTCCGGCGTGTTGCTTGTTGTGTCTTCTGCAATGTCAATTGGTGAGAACTCTATCGTCCTCTTTTCTTGTTCTTCTGCATTCGTCATTGGTGTTGATTCCGTCGTATTTCTTTCCACCCCGTCAATACTCTGATCTGGTTTCTCAAGATCGGTTTCTGTAGCGGGTACAGTTGGTTCTTCCACTGCTTTCGCCTTAGCCCTATGCTCCTTTATGCTTCTTGTATTGACCATGTTTACTGAAATGTTCATTTTCATTACTTTCGGGTTTGATAGTGTTCTTTTCCGTTGCGACGAGGTTTGATTTTGTTTTGGTCCTGTTGTCTTTCTTTCGGTTATCGATACCCTACTCCGTTTTATGATTTTTAAATACATTTTTTTTTTTTACAATTATAATATTTACAAGTCCCTGTTGTAAAATCCGATTGCAATTTTATATATGTAAAAAATATATATATTTTGTGTTTTAAAAGCTAAAATCAGTCGAATTAGTCTATATCAGCTTTGAATCTAAATCAATTTCAGTCCTCAGGACCCTTCGTTCAAGCGTTGGAAAACTTCGTTATTGTCCCCGGATTCTTCTGAACCCTCCTAGGACCCTTTGCTCAAGTGTTGGGACTGTCACAGGACTTCTCTGAACCCTCCTAGGAGACTTCGCTCAAGTGTTGGGATACTTCGTTACTCCCAGGACTTTTCTACTTTTCTTAACCCTCCTAGGACCCTTCGCTCAAGTGTTGGGATACCTCGTACTGTCCCAGGACCTCTCGCTCAAGTGTTGGGATACTTCGTACTGTCCCAAGACCCCTCGCACCAGTGTTGGGACACTTCACACTGTCCCAGGACCTCTTGCTCAAGTGTTGGGACACTTAGTATTGTCCCAAGACACCTCGCAACAGTGTTGGGGCACTTCGCACCGTCCCAGGACATCCCGCTCAAGTGTTGGGACACTTCGTACTATCCCAGGACCCCTCGCACCAGTGTTGGGACACTTCGCACTCTCCCAAGACCTCCTGCTCAAGTGTTGGGACACTTCGCACTGTCCCAAGACCTCCTGCTGAAGTGTTGGGACACTTCGCACTGTCCCAGGACTTCTCGTTTATGTGTTGGGACACTTCGCACTGTCCCAAGACCTCCTGCTTAAGTGTTGGGAAACTTCGCACTATCCCAAGACCTCCTGCTCAAGTGTTGGGACGCTTCCCACTGTCCCGGGACTTCGCGCTCAAGTGTTGGGACACTTCGTACCGTCCCAAGATCCCTCGCACCAGTGTTGGGACACTTCGCACTGTCCCAAGACCTCAAGTGTTGGAACACTTCGCACTGTCCCAGGACTTCTCGCACCAGTGGTTCTAACATATCATGCTCTAGTAATGTCTTTATTTCTTTCCTACATGCATCCGATTTGTGTGGGGTCATGCGCCTCGCCCCCTCCCTGTGCGGCACCGCAGACTCTTCAAGCTCTATTTCATGCTCAACAAAATTACAGCATTCAATGTCTGCCTTATGTGTCGAAAAAACGTCCGCGTTCCGCTCTAGTACGTCCTTGATGGCTTCGAGCTGTTCATCCGTTACCTTACCACTTACGTGTTCTATTTCAGGTAAAACTGGTTTATCCATTTCCATTTTCTCTAGTGTTGGTCTTTCTGGGAAGTTCGAACAGCTCGAGAGTCCATTATCTGTATCTGACTTAAGTGACTTTACAAGACCTGATGAGTGTTTTATTTTCTTTAATCGTCTCAAGATTATGTTCTTTAATCGTCTCATCGTCTATGATTGGGACATTCAAGTACTTCATTTTCTTTTGCATTTTCAGTCATTTCATATCGAGTTTTCACCGGTAAAGCATACTTTTCACACGTAAAGTTTTCTTCCCCCTCTGGATTGTTATTGGTATGTCAAGAGTATTCACTGGACCCAAGAACCCTCTTACAAGGGTTGGGACACTTCGGACTGTCCCAAGACCTCCCTTACAAGTGTTGGGACAGTCGGATATGTTGTTCCTCGGTGATGGTACAGTCGGATCTGTTGTTTTCGGTGTTGGGACACTTAGATCACTGTCCCTAGTTCCACCTCTTGAGCTTTGATATTAAAAATCCACCCAAAACCCAATCCTACTAATCAAAAGTTTTACCTACTAACCCCCCCGAAATTACCTTCCCTTTCTTAATCAATGCAAGTCGAAACACGACTTGTTAGTAAGTGTCTTCTGATCTCCAATTCGTTAAAACCCAATAAAATTAGATCCGAAAACGTAAAAAAATCTAGCTGAGAAAAATGATAAAAACAGAAAGACAAGTACACCCAAAATTCAAAGGCGACCAATGTCGTCTTTTTGTTTTAAAAAAAAAATGTCTGGTTGTCACGCGTTTTCCTCCCCCCTCACTAATGATCTTATGGGGTATTCTCCTTTCGGGTTCCAAAAACTGTCTATTTCCGATCCCCCCCACCCGATCCGACCAGGTTACCTATCTCCATTTGGTCATAAATTTAGATATCCTCTCTTGTTTTGAGTCTAAAGATGGATCGTTTGTATCGATTGTATAGTTACTATAATGTGTCCCCCCTTTTTACAAATTGCAGCGGCCAACCTCTATCCTAACCAACCCTCCTTCCAACCTCCCCCTATCTGGACCCGCACTCAAGCCGAAAATTACCCTAAGCGCGATGGGTACTAAAACTCTCGAGAGAAAACCGTAGAACCTGTTTCCAAGCTCTGCTCAACTAAAAACGTTTCCTCAAAACGGTGAATATTCGCTTATCCAAGTGTACACCTATTTTCTAAAACGTAAAGTGGATTTTAAAGATACCGGTTTGACCTAACAGAAACTCCGTCAACCTTCTTCCGTTTGCCCTGATGGATCAACCTAAAAACTCTCCCTAACTCAACATAACAATATGAAACACACTCAAGAAATTTAAATTGGGAACTTACATACCAGCACGACCTCTAGAGTTGAGTAACTAAATTAAAAAGTAACTCTAGCATAAATGGGGTAATCAAGTTTAACTCAAGAAATTTTGAATAAGTCAGTTTTAACTCAAGGGACAAGTTTTGGTTCTGGACCATTGGGAGAATTCGGTTGTCCACCTCTCCACCGAAGGTTCACTCTGTCCAACTTCTTATATATCTCTTCTTTACCCACGATCCCTCTGCCTTCTGTTTCGATTAAGACAGCTCTACTCTCGTTCGAATTATGTATCAGAAATTGCGAATAGCAATTTTTGACTACTTTCCCGCGATTGTAGTTCGATTCTACTGATCTTATTTTTTTGATATTTTCAGTTGTCGCGAGAAACTTGAGCATGACATATTCAATTCGAATTTTTAAAAAATCCATTTCACCCCAAATCTTTTGCGTTGCTCAAGGTCAAACTTCCAAATATGACCGACTGGCACAAAACTAAAGAAGTGAAACTGATTGCTAAGCAAGTAGCACAGTATGCGCCGACCACAAAATAAACCTATATATGTTTTTTTTTGCAAATTGTCATTTTTTTAATGTTCGTTGGAACGGAGTAGATTGGATAAAAGAATACGCATTTCTGACTTCGTAAGTTTTTGTAATTTTGTAATTAAAAAGGTAAAAATGTTGTAAACAGTTGCGTAATTGAAGCCTGCTTGCTTGCTTTATTCTTTCAGAGTAAGACCAAAAATGAGAAATTTAAAACCTGGCTTGTCTCAACCGCGGAGTTTTCTTGGAAATTTTTTAACAGGGTTCGAATCGCGTCTCTTATATGATATATCACTCGACGCCTTTCGAAGATTATTTGTGGTATCTGATTTTCCGTCGAAAACAAACAATCGAAAAAACTAAACACACCCGACGATAAAGTTTCGCCTCACTTTCAATGCTCAGAAACAAAATCGAATCTGTTGGTAAGTACAACCTCAAGGTAAGTTTTTGTTTTAGTTCAAAATATGGTGAAACTGACAGCCAAAGACCGTGCCCAGGCTACGGTCAAAACTTACGATATGAAAACATCACTCGAAGCCGAAGATAAAATATCAAGAGAATCTGTCAAGAGCCAGCGAAGGAATAGAGAGGTCAGATTACGGGCGAATTACAATATAATGATTCTGAAGAAAAAAGCTAAAAAACTGAGGAATCAAGAACGACAAAAACTGCGAGAAGATCATGGGGAGGTCCTATATCCGAAAATGGAGCCAAATACTATTGAATCTTTACGAGTACCGGATCCAACTTTTGAAGAGAACTTAACACAAGAGCAGTTAGAAACTGAAAAGAAAGATGAAACCTTGGAGTACTTTATGAATGGTTACAAACCCAAGTTGCTGATTACGTGCCCTTATTACCCTTCCAAAGCAACTAGAATGTTCTGTCGTGAAATGCTAAATGTTTTCCCCAACTCAACATTGATTTATAGAAAAGCGACTCAGTTGTCTCGGGTGTGCCTCGATGCACATAAAAAGGGATTCACTGATATTTTGGACGTATTTGTACCAAGAAAAGCAAAATTACCTACTAGTTTGATCTACGCTCATCTACCAGAAGGGCCCACCGTTCACTTCCGTTTATCGGGCATAACGTTTATGAAGGATCTTCCTGATAAGTTTCCGGCAGCACCGAATAACCCTGAACTTATTCTGACTAATTTTAAAACAGCACAGGGAAGAAGAATTGCTCGACTTTTTGCAATATTGTTCCCAAGTGATCCTGATTTTCGAAAAAGACAAGTGATCGCATTTCATAATCAGAGAGACTTCATTTTCTTCCGGAGATATAAATACGCTTTCAGAAAAGAAGGCGAAAAAGTAGTTTTGAAAGAAGTGGGACCGCGTTTTACTCTTAAAAACCGAAAACTATTGAAAGGATTGCCTAAATTTGACAACAAAAATGTTGAATATGAATACAACCCGCACGTATTTGTAAAGAATAAAAAGACGTTTGCAAATTAAAATTTGCTCAATTGTACGATTTGAATTTACAGTAGGGGTCTTTTTTCTCAAGAAGATAGTTGACGGGGTAGATGCTCCCAGGGTAGATTACTCAACCTGATATTACCTATTTTGCGTCTCGGAACTCAAATGGTCAGTCTTAAAAACAGAATAGCGCTTTTTTCATCTTAATCAAATCGATTCGTAGACTTTGTTGGGTCTAGGACAACAAGCCGACGGGACTTCAAGCCGAAGGGACTTCAAGCCGAAATTAAAACTTTACAAGCACCTCAAAACACTATTTTATCATCTGTAAAACGTTATTTTTCAGAAATTTTGGTAAGTTTAGTCCATTAAAAGCGTTATTCATGACAATGCACCACTTGAGATTGGCATCCGTTAATAACATCAGCCGGTTTTTGAAATGCATAAATTATAAACATGAAAAATGCCTTCAACCATGTTTTACTTTTCAACTTTCCGAAACTTTGGACGCTTAAATTTTATGAAAACGCCAATAACTTGTGAAGAAAGATCATGAAATTCAGAAATTCTTCAAAAAAAGTTTTCAAATTAATCATATTTCACGAGTTTATAAGGAACTATTCGGCTTGAAGTCCCTAATTTTACGATTCGGCTTGAAGTCCCGTCGGCTTGATGCCCGGCACCCGACTTTGTTCGGTGAAGAAGATTTTGTTTCGCAGAATCAATGATTTATTGTCAATTTGACACGTCAAATAAGCATTTTGAACGGCGTTCACGTAATGTTTGGGAATTCATTGGGTCAACGTTTCGAGCCAGACCAAGACCTATTTTTTGCCAGCTGAAGCTTTTCTGCTTTGATTTCACTGAGTGCTTTCGTAATAGACAGCTAGACTAGACTCTTTTCCCGTAAATAACTTTTCTAACAAATCTGAGAAGATTTAATGTTTCATTTTGAAACCAAAGTTTTTCAGGCACCTTCCCACGTGGTCTTGTGTTAAAGCGCGTGTCTTGAGGTCTTAATTTTTGCTATTTGATCCACTGCCGGACCTTGTTTCCTTGAGACGTTCGGAAATGATAATTTTTCCAGGGAATCAGGAATTACCGGACTATCGATTGTCTGCTTGTTTTGTGGCGGCTCAATTTTCCAAAGCATGGAATTTACTGCTGATTTGATCAAAGTTTATCATTCTGTAGTTTGTAATTTTTTTTAACCTTGATTTTCTATGATTTCCTTTTTGTGTGTTCATATAGCTGGGACTTTTCGTATATCGTCTTAGTTGCCGTATGTTGCGTCTTTTCAACGGTAGAAATAGATTTTTCTGCTTTTTTTGTGTTTCATGAGGGTTGAGGCGTAAAAAGAAATTTTCAAAAGTAAAAATAAGGTTTAATTTCAAAAGTAAAAATAAGTTAAAAAAATGAGGCGTATAGAAGAGAATTTTTGCATGATCGCTTACAAGCCATTCCTTTGCCTCGCAAAGTGTCAGAAATAAAAGATACCAAACAAATAATTGCGTTTTTTTTTTACAAGCGATCCTGTTATCTAGAAAGAGTTTGTTTCTTCAAGTATGGTAACAACTTCAACAAAACATAACTGGCAAGTAAGTAATTTAGCGCGGGAAAGAGTAGCCAAAAAAACATTGTATTGCCCTTTAATAGGCTACCCTATAGTTAAGCGCATACAGTTAACTAAATTATCAACCATTAAAATTTTAAGCAAATTAATTTCCTTATTTGAAATCTATTTATCGAAAATAGCAAGCAAGTTAAAACAAGCCAAAGCTAATGATACTGCCAATTTGGTAAGAATTTTGAAACCTAGATATTTCAAGACAACATGAAATAAAATGGCAATAAACGAAAAAAAACAGAAGAAAACATGATTTTTCAAATAGTTTTAAACCAGCGTTATCTCAAAACTCAACGAATTAAAGAATTTTCACAAAGAAAGCGAGAGGAATCCGAACATCCTGTAATTTAATATCTATAAATTTGATAATCTTTGAATCTAAGTTAATGAACAAAACTTCAAATATCTTTTGAACTCAATTGTTAAAATTTTTGGGCATAAGTTGATTTTGACATAATATATTTAGGAGCTTAGCACCTCTATCGTGCAAGATAGTGTGTTTAATTTTTTGCTCAGAGGTTTGTTCACTAAAATATGGCTAGTTCAAATAAAAACTTGATTCAGAAAGTTATTAGCATAAAGATTGTTGAAGGAGCGCATGCAAAATTGAAAAGTTCATACACAAAAAAAATCAAGGTCAGAAAGAATTTTGTTGATTAAACTCCTCCGAAACGCTACCTAATTTTCGTTTGAAATTTTAATTTTAATAAGCTTCTTCGGAGAAAGAAGATCGAATTTAGGGTTGAAACAGCAGTGCAACCATATACCAGCAGTCCGTATTAAATAACTGGCTTGACGTTGGAATTATAATATTTTATTCTGATCTGTCTAGGTACAAAATTTCCTATCTAGAGGACAGTTCCACAATGCAAACCCAACTTAGTTTTGATTAAAGCAACGATAACCGATTATCAACCAAAAAAGCTAGATGCTCCCATAATGCGTTAGGACAATACATATCATATTTAGCAACACGCAGTCTCAAAGTCTCAGCATCTATCTTTTATTTTTTTGAGCGAGACAATTCCAGCCATTTTAAAAAGTCCCCATGTTGAAATGTTTAAGCATGTTTTGCTATCTCCACAATTTTTAGCTACAGTATCTTTTGAATAGCTATGCTGTGCAAGTAGGTTTAATCGTTACTGCTAACCTGCGGGTTTTCATCAAGAATCGGTTTTGTGCGTAATCGCTTTTTTATTTATTTAAGCGTCCCTGTTTCAGCTAAATGGTGCTGACCAAGGTGTTTTATTTCACACTTTTATATCTTTTTTGTAAATGCTTGGCGATAAGTTTTCGATAATCTGCTTTTTTCAGATTCTACTTTTTACTAATACTACTGGTTTTGGGCCTTAGTTTTAGTTTTCAAAGCTGAATGGCACATGGGCTCAGTTAGGTGTCCGCTGTCGAAAAAGCCTTCATCCTGCACTGCGGGTTTTATAGAGGCTATAGGAACATGGCAGTTAGAAGCAGTAACCGTAAAGTGAACAAGTTCAGGAAAGTTAATTGAACTGGCTACGAGGGCTTACGACTAGCTGTTTTTCGGTTCAAGTTTATTTCGGCAGAGATTGTTGTGGCTGGAAAAAGTTGATTTTACCGTTTCAAATATGGTTGATTGACAGCGCAGGACTACGAAAAGATATCTAATGTCAGATTTGTCATTAGTAGCATTCTGTTAGAGGCTTTTAAACTGATTTTTTTTAAATTATTGTTTAGTTTCCAGTTAATTTTTTTACTTCAAAAATCTATTTGTCCTGATTGAGTGATTCATTTTGTCCCATCCTGAATGATTTAGGATTGAGAAGAAACATAAGTCAATCAATTTTTAGAGTATTTTTATGTTTGTAAAAAAAGCTTAGCAGTGATTCGTTCATTAGAGTTCAAAAAGGTTCGCAGCTGTTCCTTGGTTTTTTTAAAAAGTGAATTGTTTTCCCTTTGTTTTTTTTTCATCTATTCAACAAATTGCTATGCAGTAGTTTGTTCTTTTTAAATATATAATTTGAATATGGTTATTAACTGCTTTTTTCCGTTCTGTTCTTTTCTCATGCGTTGCACTGATTTCTTAATTAATTTCAGTTTTGTGTTTCTTCAGGTTTTTCACGAAAGGTCTGAAGCGATTTGTCACCTTTTCCTTGTTTTTGTACAATCTTTGCAATGAATTGTATCCTTTTTTTAAAAAAACTTGAACTCTTTAAAAAAAGCGTCGCAGCTAGTAGTCCTTTTTCACAAAAAAACTCGACTTGTTAATTTCTGTTATGCAACAAACAGTTATTCAGTGATTTCTTTTTGATATCTTTTAATTTAACTAAATTTTTCCTCATATTCTTTTTCAGGATGATGTTTTTGGTACTTGAATCGGCATGATCTCTGATTTTTGAAAGCGCTCTAATTTTCTGTTATGGTTCAAGCTGTGAAAAACAATTTTTTAAAACTCTATCAGCTATTTTTAAAAATCCTTCGTATGATCTTTTTAAAAAAAACATTTGGAAAAAGTTAAGGTTATGTTCAAATACTGATTGGTTCTTTTCCTATCACCTGTGTAATGTTGAATCAGCTTTATCTCTTGATCATTACCTCAACCTATAGAAACGATGCCTGTTAGTTTTTCATTTCGGCGAAAAATGTTTTTTTTTTCCGAAAGATAACTTAACCGATTTATGATTAATCATCTTATTCTTATGTTGGTGTTTTCGTTGGTAGTCACTATTTAAATCTTTTATAAGACTGTGTTGCTCAATCAACTGATTTTTTCTGGAGATGTAAATGCAATTTTTTCGAAAAAGATTGTATTTTATGGAGATTTGCTTAAAGTATGTTTAATTAATTTTCTGTAAAAGACTAATTTTACACACTGTCGTTATTATTTTGAGCTCTGCGTAAATTTTTGCCTCGAGCTTCTTGATTTTAAAGCAGTTGTGATTCGAAATCTCAAAATCAGTTTTCATGAGTAACCTTATTTGAAGTGTTTTTTCTGGCTTAAAATTTAGATAATCATTTAGAATGCAGAAATTTCTGCACTGGATTGCTAGTTGTTCTTAAAAGTCTTTGTAGCTGTTTTTCTCATTAGTTAAAAATAGTTTACGAGTGTTGTTATAAGTCAGCCAAGTGTGATTGTTTACAAGGCCTGACTGGTGTTCAGCAAGACACGAATTTGAAGCAATTAGATTTTTTAGTAGACGCAAAGAGATTCTCCGAGGTTTTTGCAACTTAAGGCGTATCATTAATGATAATCAGAAACAAAAGTGGACCCAAAACTAATCCCTGCGCTACTCCTAATTGTATAGGTGGAAAAAACAGTTTAATTTGATATCTGTCAGAAAGTTAGCTTTGGAACCATGGGAGAAAACCCCTTGATTCAGCTTAGTAAATTTCAGAATTTTTTCGAAGAGAATTTTGTGATTCAAGGGATCGAACGCTTTTCTGAGATCAACAAAAACCTGCAAA